TTAGAATTTTGACTGGGATTTTGTTGGACACAATTCTAATTTGAATTCTGCCTGGACCAAATTCAAATTAGAATTTTGACGGAGATTATATTGGGCAAACTTCTAATTTGAATTCTGTATGGGCAAAATTCTAATTTTAATTTTGCCCGGGCAAATTTAAAATTTGACTGGATTTGAATTTTGACCACAACATATATATTTTTTTTTCGTTCTGTAACCTTCTTTCGTTGCGCAATGCGAACTAACGAACAAACACACGAACATTTGGTCGTAGTAGCTGCTCAACACATTACCCTCCTTTCAGTAGAGGGAATAACGCAGAGCCCTGATGAGTGTTTCAATATTTTTATAAAGTAAGCATGAAACGCGTCGGTAAAATAAGTCTCTGTATTATTATTTTTTATTTTAATTGAAAATATTAATTTATTTTATTTTATTTTTTCTCCAAAATTTGACTTATAATCGGTTGCTGAAAAACAAGAGTTGAGACTATAAGATTGATTTGTCTTTTCGCTAAAAGAAAGGTTATTCTATTTTTGAATTGCAGTGTTTGTCATACAGGTAAAGCTCCAATTCTATCAGCCAGGTAGTGCTTATATAGACGAACGAGGTGATTCAGAAGTAGAGGAAATGCTGGGGGCTTCTTAGAAAAACAAATCATAGGTTCTGTATGAAGAAAATATACTGTATTCTGCGTTACTTGGTAAGTTCTATTTGCATACTATTTGTATATAATTACAAATCAAATATACTGTGTACAACACATGTCAGGTGTTGGTAGTTTTCAAGCAACCTAAAAATTACCAAGTTATAGTTGTCATAAAATCAATATCAGGCGATGATCCAGCTTTATATTCTTCACATTCGCCTATAAAAATGAAAAAAGGACGAAACGTTTTTTTTTAAGGAAGTTAAACAGAACGAGTCATTAACATTCATTGAATCACACATCTAATAAGATAAATTTGGTAAGAGCTTATACATTTATTATTTTCTTCCTAAAACTGAAGAGCTAAAAGTCTCTCAAATAACATATCTTAACTTTTATTAAAACTTACCACTTTTCGAAAACTTTAATTGATAAGAGTCGCGAAGATTGTAATGTTTAGGGTGTGTGTGGGTGTGTGAACGAAGATAAGGCACCCACATTCCACCCACACCCATAGCCTCAATATTTTGATAACCATTGCAGAAATCTACTGTGGCCAGAGGACAAAAATGTTTTGAAGTACTGTGAATAGAGAGTCTGAATCGTTGAAAAAAAGTCCAGATTCGAACAATGAAGTATAGAGGTGAAGATGAAAATATTCTTCGATATGATTGTTATTTATGACCATTTTAAGTACAAAGCTAGCGTATTCTTTTCACAAGTCTAAAATATTTTCAAAACTCGCTCAATTTTACTCTCAATTGTTTGAGAAAATCTTATTTAGCTCCCTGTTTTGTGGAACTCACATATATTTTCGAAGAAAATGGTGAGTGTAAGTTTATAAGCGAGATTTTTGCGGCTCCCCACCCCCCTCCCCATCACAGACATTAATTAGTCTAAAATTGTGCTAATTAGGAGCTTGACTAATTAGGCTGCTATGTCTTCCTTTTTCAATTACAGACTACACGAAAAGCGCAATGGTTACCCATTACAGACCATAGTAAATAGCTTAGGGTACCATTACAGACCATAGTAACTAGCTTAGGGTACCATTACAGACCATAGTAACTAGCTTAGGGTACCATTACAGACCATAGTAATTAGTATCTGCCATTGTTAAATATACCAGCTAATAATTAATACTCGATTGCAGACATAAGCAAATAGGCAATGACCTAATTATAGGTTTTGGAAATCAAGGTAGATTTTTCAGATGAACTATGTTGAATTATATTAGTAAGCCGAAGGGATATATGTGAGTTCCACATTTTAGCCCCAAAGGGGCTGTGCTAACAAGCTTTTCAATTTGTATGTATCAGATTCAGAATGGTAGAGGAGATTTTCACTCATTTATTTCTCATTAAATCTTGTTTTTAATCGTGATCCCATCATACATTACTCTTGAACCTATTCGAATAGATATTGGAATTCTCTATGTTTCATAATTATACATGATAGTATATGCAAAATATGTCCAAATAGTAGTCAAATTCTGTCAGTTAAAAATAATAGAATCTTGGTTATTTCTAAAAAAACATTGAGTTTGATCGATATTCTTGACAAAATCTTATTTTCATTTGTCAATTATCAAGAGTGAAAAGTTTCTAGTTTGTAAATGAGCTCACTTATAACGGCTTCTAATCCAACACACTATCATAATACTATTGACGAGTTCGATGAGCAATACAGATTACTAATTTATATCAAAAATGGATTTCGACCTCGCATTCTATGGGCCGTATTGAGTTATAGAATATAACTACTATTAAATTTATTTTGTTTAAGATGTCTCGCCTTGATTATCGATCAAAACATAATTGGTTGCGCCGTCTACCAACAGTGCGCAGTGGTTTATTACTTCTTTGTATCGAAGGCTCTGGCTTGTCATTATCAATGTCTAAGAAATTTAAGGAAACAATCATTCAGATTAATGATCTTCATAAATATCATATGATTTGTTATACAAGTACGTCGAAATGTATTCGCTATTTAAAAGAAGCGCGAATATATGAACGGATTATTATTATTATGGTCATTAATAAAATTGCTACAGAAAACATTTCTCAATTCGCTAAATATCATCAAATAAAGTCCATTCTCGTGGTTTCTCCCGATAATAATAACAATGAATATACTCCAAGCGAAACTATTGCAGAAACCTATGTATTCAGTGATCATGAAACAATGTTTGCCAAGCTTCAATTTCTAACAGACGAAGATCAACAAGCTGTCGAAAAAAACATCTTCAATACATTCAATCCCGATGGGAGATCTCTGAGAGATGTTCGTCAATATATTGGTCCGTTTGTATGGAGCCATGCATACATAGGTCTGTCGTTGCAAAATATTATATTCATTTCACCGAGTATTTTTTTGAGGAAATTAGACTTCTAAATGAGATGTCTAACTATATCTTCATAAGGTAAAATTTCTTCAGTACGTGAGCAAATTTTACTTTCTCTTTTGGTATATGCAACATCAGAGATGGCCAAGCCAAGTCAGACTTGACTTGACTTGAAAATTTTCAGAATGACTTGACTTGACTTGCAACAAGTCGTACAGAGAAATTCAAGTCAAGTCAAAAATTATATGTATAGAGAACTTTTATTAATTGAATTTTTGAACTCTAATTTGAAATGTAGAAGAAAAATACAAATAATAAATCAAAGATGGGCAAGTCAAGTCAAAAAATGACTTCACCTGATGACTTTTTGAATGAATTATGACTCTAATTGACTTGACTTAAAAACGTCTGACTTGACTTGAAATCAGACTTGACTTGACTTGACTTGGAATTTTCTTTGGCTTAGCTATGACTTGACTTGAAATTTTCAGAAACTGACTTGACTTGACTTGAGTCGAAAAAACGCTGACTTGCCCATCTCTGTGCAACATCAAAGTACCACTGAGATAGCAGAATTAAGAATAAATTATAGCTAAGAGCAACAGTTACAAAAACAAACTATCTAATTCTTTGAAATGAATCAGAAAATTATTCATTAACAACAGATCTTTTGTTCATAAAGGACAATCATCATAGAATTGAGCTAATAGTGCGAACATCTTATTTCTTTTTGATCTGTGAGGTATGCTGTGTTGAGTGATATATGACTTAAATTAGATCCCCACACCTAGAGAAAACTCTTGAAAAACGTGAAATTGCTTTTATGGCACATGACAAAGCTTTCCAAAATAGATGTCATTCTGCATATTGTTACCAAGTAGTAGCACAAACGGAAGAAGATTGTATAATATAAATAAGCTTCAATAGTCAGAAATTAATAGTTATCGCTAGTCATCAGGACTGTTTTTGCCGATATGCTTTTCTCTCCATGATGACTATTACTGCACTACAGTTTTGCATATCGATTTGGCAAAGTTTACATTTTATCATATTATAATGGATGCAAACGAAGAGCAAAATACAACAATATGGAACTTATTCGTCTCCTTAAACTAAATATGCAGTAGTACTTGATTCAACACTAGAAAATGTTCTAAAATCTGCTATTTCATACATTTCACAATTCATTTTGGACTATATATCACAGAAACACCGTGACGAGACTAATCTTTTACGCTGGTGTCTCCCGCTGAGAGTCAAAACGATAAGGTGAGAAAGTCAATATTAATTTTCGTTGAAGATCACTGTGGCTTCTAAACGACTCGCATCGTTTGTAATATGGAACTTGTCGGTTTTCTTCTGCTACTCATGTTTTGATGTGCATTGATAAGAGATTTTCTATTCAAAAACTATTCCGTATTTGTCCTTCTACACCGTAAACTTCAAAACCTTACAAAGCTGTGTTGACGTAAAATCATTATGTTTTGAATCGAACCAAAGACTTCATATTCTCGTTTCTTATTATTGTTTTAGCTATTATCATGTCAATGTCTTGTAATACGCAGTGCGCTAAGCGACAAATGCTCGCCGAGTTTCGAAGGCATCCAGCTTATTGTAAAAATAATGCTCAATTAGCGAAAATCTCTGAGTTCGAACGCAACTACCGTTCTGCGGATGCTATTCGCTGGTATACAAAGGACTCATTTTTACACACCATGATTAATGAAGCTTTGCGTACTGAAGATCCTCGAGTTTTATATATTTATCGCTTCTATATTAGTGACCTTTGTAAACGTCTCGAAGAAACTTCTGCACTGAATAGAGGATGTCAAAAATCATCGTTTCGTGTTTATCGCGGCACTACCATTGATCGAGATGAGATCGAAAAGTTTTGTGTTGGCATGTTGGTTGGAAGCAACGGATTTTTGTCATCATCACGTAGTTCAGAGGTTGCAAAAATGTTTATGGGTCTTGATCAAATTACTGGGATGTCCCCATCTCAAAGTCAGACCAACAAACAACAATATGTGTTATTTGAGATCGTTATTGATCCGGATCAGACAATTGATCTCATGATGGCTGATGTTTCGGAGCAGAGCAACTATCCAGAAGAGCAAGAAGTACTGTTCGGGCTTGGCACCACTTTTATAATTAAGCAAATTAAGCATGATAACCAACATAATGTGTGGCATGTTGAAATGACTGGGTCTTCGGAAATGGGTGAACTCAAAAAAGAACATACAAAACATGTCGAGAATGGTCTTCGTTATTATGATGCCACAACATTGTTTGGCGTCTTTTTGAGTGGAGTGTCGAGTAATTACCCGGTGGCAATAAACTATTTGCAAAGCCGTCTACGTAACATGACATTCAACGATCCATATCGTGCAAGTATTTACTATTCCTTAGCGCGTGTCTATCGTCATCTAGGTAAACTTCAACATTCTATTGAGTACTTTCGTCGTGCTATGCTGCTCCGAAAACGATCACTTCCACAGTCATGTTATGCCTACGCTGACACTCTAGCTGATCTTGCAGTTACTTATTCGCAGGTGAACAACACAGCGAAGGCTGTGAGTCTTCACGAACAGGCTATAACTCTATTTCGTAGAATTTTGCCACCCAATCATATTGATATGCCTCTGTATTACACTCAACTCGCTTACTCCTACTGGCAAGAAAAACAGTACGAGAAGGCACATAGCCTGCTTTTGGCTGCATTATCAATTCTTAAAGAAGATAAGACTTCTAAGTTTTCTGGTATTACTTTCACAATGCATACAATGGGTCTAGTGAAATATGCAATGAGCCAGCGAGAAGCGGCAGTCAGTTATTTGAAGGAAGCACTCGAGCTACGTCGAAAATTCTATGCTGATGACCATCCTAGCGTTGCTCAAGCATGCTACAGTTTGGCTCTCATTTATATGGATAACGGTGATAAACAAGTGGCACTAGATTACGCTCAAACAGCACTGACTATTTATCAAACGAAACTACCAAAAGACCATAGTGATTTGAAAAAATCAACTGAGCTTGTCGAACGAATTTTGTCATCTTGACGCAATAGCACATTCTCAGATTTTAACATTGCTTGTGCTCATGAATGAATAATACATTTTTTGTGTTTTATTGGGTGTGAGAGTGGGTGTGGATGAGGGCGTCACCAGTGGCGGATCCACCAGTTAGGCTACCTGGTCATCGCCACCCCCCCTCCCCCCGGAGGATAGAATATCGGCGAAATTTTTGAAATGTTTCTATGATTCAACGCATGATATAATAGATATTGCAATATGATATTTAATCAAAAGATGTCAGCTTTGGTCGTGAAAATGAGGTTCAGAATATGTAATAAAATAAAGCTCTCTGAGGGAATGACTAATAGCAAGAAGTAGAATAACAGGATTAGTCATAAATATCACCCATTGACAATTGATCAAGTACACTTGAATATTGAAACGTAACCAGCAAAAGCTTATGTAAACAAAAAACCTCGACAAAACCTCAATTTTACTAGGATAGTCTAATTGTATAGCCAGGGGTATTGAAAATTTTACGGGAAATATCTGATTTTTTCAATATAATTTGACCGAAATATCTAAAGCATGTAGTAATGACATGTAAATATTTGGGAATGCCTGCTTTAGAGTAGCAAATGTATACCATATTCTAGATTGAAATGTATCCTTTGCTTACTGAGTTTTAAAAAAAAGCAGTAGTCTCAATTTGCAATAATCACCAGCAAGAAGCAAGTGAAAAGGCATCACTTCATAGTGATATACTATATAAAACGAAATAAAGAATTCGAAAGATTAAGCACACATTTTTAAATACTTCACGAAAATTCATACTAGCTTGTTTGAAAAAAATTTAGAAATCGCCACCCCCTCTCGAAAATCCTGGATCCGC